AAACTCAGAAAAAAACGAAATTCCTGTTCTTGGCCCCAAAAACCTTAGAGACTCACTGTCTAAAGATATAGTTACTCTAGATGGCATTAACTTGGCCTCTAGCACCACTGTCAGGAATCTTGGAGTAATCTTTGATCAGGATTTGTCATTTAACTCCCACTTAAAGCAGACCTCTAGGACTGCCTTCTTTCATTTACGTAATATTAGAAAAATTAGACACATACTATCACAGACAGATGCAGAAAAACTAATCCATGCATTTGTTACTTCAAGGCTGGATTACTGCAACTCTTTATTATCAGGTTGCCCCAATAAGTCCATTAAAACGCTCCAATTAATTCAGAACGCTGCAGCACGAGTACTGACAGGAACTAGAAAAAGAGATCACATCTCTCCTGTACTAGCTTCTCTGCATTGGCTCCCTGTAAAATGTAGAATAGAATTTAAAATCCTCCTCCTCACCTATAAAGCTCTTCAGGGTCAGGCCCCTTCATATCTTAAAGAGCTCATAGTACCCTATTACCCCTCTAGAACACTACGTTCTCTGAATGCTGGGCTACTTGTGGTTCCTATAGTCCCTAAAAGTAGAACAGGAGCCAGAGCCTTCAGTTACCAAGCTCCTCTCCTGTGGAACCAGCTTCCAGTTGTGGTTCGGGAGGCAGACACCCTCTCCACATTCAAGAGTAGGCTTAAGACATTCCTCTTTGATAAAGCTTATAGTTAGGGCTGGATCAGGTGAGTCCTGAACCATCCCTTAGTTATGCTGCTATAGGCCTAGACTATCGGGGGATTTCCCATGGTGCACTGAGCTCCTCCCTTCCTCTCTCTCTCTCTTTCTGCACTCATTCATGTCCCATTAATGCATGTTACTAACTTCACTTCTTCCCCGGAGTTCTTGTGTTTTCTCGTCTTGCAGGTTCTTATCGATCCTGGTGGAGCCTCCTGCCATGGTCCTGCTAGATTGCCATTGCCAATACTGTTGTTGCTGTGCACCTGTCTGTCTGTCTGTCTCTCTCTCTCTCTCTCTCTCTCTCTCTCTCTCTCTCTCTCTCTCACCCGAACTGGTCGAGACAGACGACCACCCACCTAGAGCCGGAGGATCTGTCCTAGGTTTCTGCCTTTTAACAGGCAGTTTTTCCTTGCCCTTGTCGCCAAGTGCTTGCTCATGGTGGTACTGTTGGGTCTCTGTAATTAATGTTATAAAGAGTTCAGTCTAGACCTGCTCTATTTGAAAAGTGTCCTGAGATAACTTCTGTTATGAATTGGCGCTATACAAATAAAATTGAATTGAATTGAATTGAATTAATAAAATACAGTAATAATATATACAGTAATAATATAAAGTAATAATATATACAGTAATAGTATATACAGTAATAATATACAGTAATAATATATACTATAATAATACATACTGTAATAATATACAGTAATTATATATAGTAATAATATATATTAATAATACACAATAATAATATATACAGTAATAATATAAAGTAATAATATATACTGTAATAATATAAAGTCATAATATACAGTAATAATATATACTGTAATAATATACAGTAATAATATATAGTAATAATATGCAGTAATAATATACAGTAATAATAAACAGTAATTATATACACAGTAATAATATACAGTAATAATATATAAAGTAATAACATAGACAGTAATAATATATAGTAATAATACACAGTAGCAATGTATACAGTAATAATATATAGTAATAATATACAGTTATAATATATATAGTAATAATACACAGTAATAATATATAGTAATAATATACAGTAATAATATATACAGTAATAATATACAGTAATAATATATACAGTAATAATATACAGTAATAATATATAGTAATAATACACAGTAATAATATATAGTAATAATATACAGTAATAATATATAGTAATAATATACAGTAATAATATATACAGTAATAATATACAGTAATAATATATACAGTAATAATATAAAGTAATAATATATACAGTAATAATAATAATATAAAGTAATAATAGTATACAGTAATAATAACATACAGTGATAATATATACGGTAATAATATAAAGTAATAATATATAATAATAATAATAGACAATAATAATATATACAGTAATAATATATAGTAATAATATACAGTAATAATATATACAGTATAAACTGTAATAATATACAGTTATAATATATACAGTGATAATATATAGTAATAATATATACAATAATAATATACACAGTAAGAATATATACAGTAATGATATACAGTAATAATAAATACAGTATAAACTGTAATAATATACAGTAATAATACATACAGTAATGATATATACAATAATAATATATACAGTAATAATATATAGTAATAATGTATACAGTAATAATACATAGTAATAATATACAGTAATAATATATACAGTAATAATATACAGTAATAATATATACAGTAATAATATATACAGTAATAATATATAGTAATAATAATATACAGTTATAATATATACAGTAATAATAATATACAATAATAATATATATACAGTAATAATATATACAATAATAATATATGCAGTAATAATATACAGTTATAATATATACAATAATAATATATGCAGTAATAATATACAGTAATAATATATACAGTAATAATATATGCAGTAATAATATACAGGTATAATATATACAGTAATAATATATACAATAATAATATATGCAGTAATAATATACAGGTATAATATATACAGTAATAATATACAGTTATAATATATACAGTAATAATATATACAATAATAATATATGCAGTAATAATATACAGTTATAATATATACAGTAATAATATATGCAGTAATAATATACAGTAATAATTTATACAGTAATAATATATACAATAATAATATATGCAGTAATAATATACAGTTATAATATATACAGTAATAATATATGCAGTAATAATATACAGTTATAATATATACAGTAATAATATATAAAATGCAGTAATAATATACAGTTATAATATATACAATAATAATATATGCAGTAATAATATACAGTTATAATATATACAATAATAATATATGCAGTAATAATATACAGTTATAATATATACAGTAATAATATATGCAGTAATAATATACAGTAATAGTATATACAGTAATAATATATACAATAATAATATATGCAGTAATAATATACAGTTATAATATATACAGTAATAATATATGCAGTAATAATATACAGTAATAGTATATACAGTAATAATATATACAATAATAATATATGCAGTAATAATATACAGTTATAATATATACAGTAATAATATATACAGTTATAATATACAGTTATAATATATACAGTAATAATATATACTGTGTATTTATTATCATATATCATTATGACTCCCAATAAATTAATAATAATAATACAAACAAAAACAACACATTATCTGTTTTTGATGAGAGACAGACAAAAAGAGAGACAGACAGACAGAAAGAGAGACAGACAGAGAGAGACAGAAAGAGAGACAGACAGACAGACAGAGACAGACAGAAAGACAGAGAACCAGACAGACAGACAGAAAGAGAGACAGAAAGACAGACCGACAAACAGAAAGACAGACAGAGAGAGACACAGAAAGAGAGAAGGACAGACAGACAGACAGACAGACAGTCAGAGAGATAGAAAGAGAGACAGACAGACAGAGAACCAGACAGACATAGAGATAGACAGAGAGACAGACAGACAGACAGAGAACCAGACAGACAGAAAGACAGACAGACAGAACGACAGACAGACAGACAGACAGACAGACAGACAGAAAGACAGAGAACCAGACAGACAGAGAGATAGACAGAGTGACAGACAGACAGACAGAAAGAGAGACAGACAGACAGACAGAGAACCAGACAGACAGAGAGATAGACAGAGAGACAGACAGACAGACAGACAGACAGAAAGAGAGACAGACAGACAGAACGACAGACAGACAGACAGACAGACAGAAAGACAGTCTGTTAAGCTCAATACAATCAGTACAAATCTACTTCCTTCTTCCTTCCAAAATAAAAGCCCTTCTCTGTAACATTGTGGAGGATAGATACTTTATTTATCCCGAGGGAAATTCAAATACTGACTGTGTACAGTTACTGTACAGATTCTACAGTTCAACATGTTTCTGACCAAATATAAAGAGAGACATATTTCATACAGTTATTATAATTATTATATTACGGCTTCATATTGTTTTTATAGTATTATTTAACATTTTAATGTATTAGTTTTTATTTATTTTTTCCTTTATTTTATATTAATTTTGCTTTATTGTATTAATTGTTTATCTTATATTTATTTTGCTCCACTATATTTTATTTTTCTCTGTTATATTTTAGTGTTTTTATTTTGAAGGACAATCCGCCGTACTTCCGTTCTTTGCAACCATTTAATCCTTTCCCACAATGCTTTGTGTCCACGTCCGCTGCTTCCTGTTTATTGTGACCGTCTCCACCGGTAAAATATTAACGTTTACGCCGCTGTGCTCCCGCCGAAAGCTCGGTGAGTAACCGAATCCCGCAACGTTTCACGGCCAAACCCTGTTGGCGCCGTTTTATTGCGCGGTTCGCTCTTTTATTTTGACAGTTAGCGATGAGGGAAGAGAAATCCCTCCGCTGCTTCCTCATCACTGCCACTGAGCCCGGCCGAGCCCCGGAACTCCACTCAAAAACTGCACCGTTTAACACCGCATCGATTCACCACCGACACAAATCAATTTAATAAACGATTGAAGACATTTTTCGTAACAGACGTGTTTTATAATAGTTTCGGCGTAAGATTTCCCGCCAATCAGCCCCAAATTGTAATGAAATGTCATCTTTAATAATGGATGCGCTGCCAGCAACCGCCCTCCACGGGATGTGCAGAGGGACGAAATCTTGGCTATAACGCGGGAATCTGTCACATATATTCATATTTATTATCAGTTAAATGTCTCCGGTTTTATTTAATGCTTCCTGGTTCGGACAGCGAGACAACGGCTGGATATAAACCGGAGGACCGTCTGTCTCCCGGGGACGGATCCCGGCGGCTCCCGGTGAGCTGAGAGGCTGTTAAAATGAGCGGAATCTGAACGGAGTTCGGCGGGACGGTGTGTCGGTTAGAATAAAGACTGAAGTGTCAGAGCAAGCTGAGGAGGAGGGTGCTATTGATCATATTATTTATGATATTGATTATGACTCATTAATCAATTAATAATGAGATGTTCAGTTGACGGGAGGTCAGAGGTCACCTGTCTATTATTTACTGACATCATCACTGACCTCATATAGTGCATCATCAAACTGATAACCGATTATTGATCAATAACCATCCAACCACCATAACAGATTTGATTACCTGTTAATTAACTAATGGATGCTAATTGTGTACCAATGTTGATTAATTAATTAATCTAAATAATATAAATGTTTTGATTTGATGCTTTAACGACTTTAATAAATATTAAAAAACAATTATTAGTTTCAATTAGAAAACAGCAATAAACACAATTTAAAAAAATAAAATTATTATTAAATAGTGTTATTATTATACAATTAAGAGAACAGTCCATCAAGAATACATTTCATAACAATATTATTCGATCAGATCGTAGACAGACTGAAGACAGATCGTAGACAGACTGAAGACAGACTGTAGACAGACTGAAGACAGACTGAAGACAGATCGTAGACAGACTGAAGACAGATTGTAGACAGACTGAAGACAGATCGTAGACAGATCGTAGACAGACTGAAGACAGACTGTAGACAGACTGAAGACAGACTGTAGACAGACCGTAGACAGACTGAAGACAGATCGTAGACAGACTGAAGACAGATCGTAGACAGACTGAAGACAGACTGAAGACAGATCGTAGACAGACTGAAGACAGATCGTAGACAGACTGAAGACAGACTGAAGACAGATCGTAGACAGACTGAAGACAGATCGTAGACAGACTGAAGACAGATCGTAGACAGACTGAAGACAGATCGTAGACAGACTGAAGACAGATCATAGACAGACTGAAGACAGACTGAAGACAGATCGTAGACAGACTGAAGACAGATCGTAGACAGACTGTAGACAGACTGAAGACAGACCGTAGACAGACTGAAGACAGATCGTAGACAGACTGTAGACAGACTGAAGACAGATCAAAGACAGACTGAAGACAGATCGTAGACAGACTGTAAAAAAAAACCGTAGACAGACTGAAGACAGATCGTAGACAGACTGTAGACAGACTGAAGACAGATCAAAGACAGACTGAAGACAGATCAAAGACAGATCAAAGACAGATCGTAGACTGATCGTAGACAGACTGTAGACAGACTGTAGTAGACAGACTGAAGACAGATCGTAGACAGACTGTAGACAGGTCGTAGACAGACTGAAGACAGATCGTAGACAGACTGCAGACAGGTCGTAGACAGACTGAAGACAGATCGTAGACAGACTGAAGACAGATCGTAGACAGACTGAAGACATTGTAGACAGATCGTAGACAGACTGTAGACAGGTCGTAGACAGACTGAAGACAGATCGTAGACAGACTGAAGACAGATCGTAGACAGACTGAAGACAGATCGAGACAGACTGAAGACATTGTAGACAGATCGTAGACAGACTGAAGACAGACTGTAGACAGACTGTAGACAGGTCGTAGACAGACTGAAGACAGGTCGTAGACAGACTGAAGACAGATCGTAGACAGACTGAAGACATTGTAGACAGATCGTAGACAGACTGTAGACAGGTTGTAGACAGACTGAAGACAGGTCGTAGACGGACTGAAGACAGATCGTAGACAGACTGAAGACAGATCGAAGACAGATCGTAGACAGATCGTAGACAGACTGTAGACAGACTGAAGACAGATCGAAGACAGATCGTAGACAGATCGTAGACAGACTGAAGACAGGTCGTAGACAGATCGTAGACAGACTGTAGACAGACTGAAGACAGACTGAAGACAGATCGAAGACAGATCGTAGACAGATCGTAGACAGACTGTAGACAGACTGAAGACAGATCGAAGACAGATCGTAGACAGACTGTAGACAGACTGAAGACAGACTGAAGACAGATCGTAGACAGATCGTAGACAGACTGAAGACAGGTCGTAGACAGATCGTAGACAGACTGTAGACAGACTGAAGACAGACTGAAGACAGATCAAAGACAGATCGTAGACAGACTGTAGACCGATCGTTTGTGTCTCTTATTAAGACGTTCTTTATTATTAAAATGTCTCTCTCTCTCTCTCTCTATCTGTCTCTGTCTGTCTGTCTCTCTCTGTCTCTCTCTCTCTCTCTATCTGTCTCTGTCTGTCTGTCTCTCTCTGTCTCTCTATCTGTCTCTCTCTCTCTCTCTCTCTCTCTCTCTCTCTCTCTCTCCCCCCCCTCCTCAGGCCTGTAGCAGCTCCTCCCCCCCCCCCCCCTCCCCTGGCGGCCTCGGTTCAGATGGAGGACTCGGAGACGGAGCTGGCGGTGTCGGAGTCGGATGCCCTGGGCGCAGACTTCATCACGGTGGAGTTGGACACGCAGCCCATCGAGTACGTGGTGAAGTGGGCCGAGGTCGGCTCCAAGTTCACCATCTCCTGCGTGAAGAAGGACTCGGACGACCCGGCGGACCTGAGCGCCGAGCAGCTGAAGATCGAGACGGACGAGGCCTTCTTCGCTCCCTACGAGGAGGTGTACCCCTGCGAGGTGACGGAGCAGAGCGTGGAGATAAAGACAGACTCCGACGAGGACGAGGAGGACGCAGAGGAGGAGCGGGAGGTGCTGGTGGAGGCGGGGAGCAGCCGGTTGGACGGGGAGGCCGACTCGGACCAGGCCGACTTTGAGCCGGACGAGCGTCAGTACCGCTGCAGCTACTGCGGGAAGTGTTACAGCCACGCCTCCAGCCTGTATCGCCACCAGCAGACGCACACCGGCAAGAACGGCGGGGCGGCGCCGCCTGCCAAACGGGCGCTGGAGCCCACGCATCAGGAGGCGCGCTACACCTGCCCCCACTGCGGGATGAGCTTCAAAGGCAGCAGGTGGGTCCCTGATCAGTAACATTGTCTGTTGATTGATCGACTCAAAGCTTGAGGGGCGGAGTCTGCAGGCCCCGGTGGGAAGCAGTGACGTCACTGTGATACAGCGATCAATAATTGAGGAAGCTAACGTTAGCTTCCCCAGCTAAACTGATCCATGATGCTAACTTATGTATTCTTTGGTATTTGAACTTGTTTGTTGTTTTGTTTGTTTGTTGTCAGGATGTTGGGGAGCCACCTGCGGCTGCACGGGAAGCGGCGGATCCACCCCTGCAACATCTGCGGCAAGGAGTTCAACCACAGCTCCAGCCTGTCGCGCCACCGTCTCATCCACAAGAAAGGAAAAGGCCTCCCCAAGGACGTCGCCCTCGGCCCCAACATGGCCGCCCTGCGCCACTCGCTGAAGGCCGGCGGCAAGATCAAAAAGACCAAGAGGCAGCGGCAGCAGCAGCATGTGGCATCCGCCATCATCCAGAGTCAGGGTGGCGATAAGTTCTATGCCTGCCCGCAGTGCGACATGAGCTTCAGGACGTCCACGCAGCTCTCCAAACACCAGGTGACCCACGTCAAAGAGCTGCTGGACAACTACACGCCCGGCAAGGAGAACCTGGGCGAGAGCTCGTCCGACCTCAAGATCCGGCTCAAGCTCTGCTCCCGTGACAAGCCCAACTTCTACACGCTGTGCAAGAAGAACCGCCGCCGCCGGGGGGTGCGGGCCGGGAAACGGGGCTCCGCCGTCTCCGAGGAGGAGGATGGAGGAGGAGGAGCCGGTCGCCATGGCTGCAGCCAGTGCGGGAAGCAGTTTAGCCACGCCTCCAGCCTTGCGCGGCACCAGCAGACCCACAGGGCGGTGGACGGTGGCGGCGGGCGGGGGAAGCTGCAGCAGCACCAGAAGCAGCTTCACATGAAGACCGGACCCCCCGCCGCCAAGACCAAGACCTACACCTGCACCGCCTGCAACAAGACCTTCATGCACTCGTCCAGCTTCTCCCGCCATAAGAAGGCTCACCTGGAGGAGGAGCAGCGGGCCCACGCCGCCGCCGCAAAGCGCCGGAAGAGAGTTGTCTTAGACGAGACCGCTCCGCTGGAGTCCGACTCGGAGTGACATCACCCAGCTCCAGACTGGGGTTGGACCGGTTCTGGACCTGTTCTGGGTTGTTCTGGGTTCTGAACTGGTTTAGGTTCTGGACCAGTTGGAGTTTGTTGGTCCGGGTTTCAGGAACTGGATCTGGTGTAGATAGCAGCAGGACATCCATATATGGTCGTACAGCGGGGGGACCTCCGCATATGGTCATATCCATATATGGTCATATCCATATATGGTCATATCCATATATGGTTATCTATATATGGTCATCACTGACCGTTCGCTAATTGCTCTTAAGGATGGGATTAGATTTAAAGTGTTACCCCCACAGCCCGCCCCCTGCCCCGCCCCCTCCTCCACTCGTCTGATTGGACGCTACACTCCATTTTCCCATCAGCCACCTGGGCAGAGAGATGGCAGCTACGGTCTCTTCTGTCCGTCGCAGGCCACGCCCACCTGACACCACATTTCGCATCAGCCCCAGGACCTGGCTTTCAGTGAGCATGCAGAGCATCATGGGAAACTGAGTCTCATAACAACATTGAAAGTTGATTTTATGGAAGTTTATTAACGACAAAACTACAAATTACTTTTGAACAAAGCCCGCCCGCTGCTGCTCCAATCAGATGAAAGTGTTTCTCTCTCTTAATCTTATTGGTTGACTGTAAAAAAAATTATAACAGTAATAATTTCAAAGCAACTGCAACTTTCATTAAATTTTAGTTTTAAATCAAACTCCCAAGTTTTGAAATAAACTAATAATAATGAAAATTTACTTTTCTTCTTTAGAAAACAAAAAAATCTCAAACTCATTAAAGTAAACATTTAATTTAATATTTTTAATATTACATTTTCAATCAACATAATGAAAAAAATGCATTTTGTCTGTCTAAAACTCAAAGATTGAAGTTTTTCTAAAGAAGTAAAGTAAATTACCTCAACAAAAGATTCTTCTTCTTATTATTATTATTATTAGTATTATTATTATTATTATTATTTGGCAAAACTGTATTTTAGTTTATTTGAAAACTGAACAGTTTGTAGTGAGACAGCTGCCTTTAAAAATAAAAGTAAAAATAAATCAATCAGTTGTTCTTTTAAAAGAAAAAAACCTCCAGCATCACAATTATTTTAATGGATACTTTAGTGGGGTTTTTTTGGTCTCAGATTAAATTGTGTTTTCTCTCGGCGCTCCTTCTCTTCTGTAGTTATTCTTCAATTTAATTTTAAAATTCACATTTTTCTCTCAGAATTCTGAAACTTTTGCTAAAAGTTTGGAAGGAACTCAAAACTAAGTTTAAACAAGTTAAAACAAATCTTTAATTATTGATTATTCTGGAAAGATATTCAGTTTACTGTGAGAATAAAAAGACCCTCAAAGAATGTTTGACTTCATTAATCTTCAGTTGAAATTTCTTTTAAAACTAAAACGTGATTGAAATGAGTTTTGTCGTTAGTGAACCTCCGTACAGTGTCAGAGTGCAGACCTCTTTCCTCTCTGATGTCAGCGCCCTGTTTCTTCCTGGTTTTGATCAGGGTGATTCTGATTGGCTGAAGTTGTTGTTGCAGCGTTGATTGGTCGGCTGTGGTTAAAGGTTTTTTTTTAAGATGTGAAATCCAAGCAGACGAGCTGATTGGTTGGAGCCGGCGCTCCTCCACGTTAACATTTGCATGAAGACTATAACCTGCAGCTAGTCAGCCATATTTGTAGTTTTTCAGCGGTGTGTGTGTGTGTGTGTTTGAGGACCCATCTGCAGCGTCGGACTTTGGGATTTCTCGTTTAAGCAGCGAGTGGCGGCGCTGCGGTGGCGTTTGGAGGGAAACTGCACTACGTATTTATGAATTTGGAACAATGTTGTATTAATATATAAATATAAATATTTAAATGTCATTCACTATAAACACAACAGAGCCTGGCCTGGCTGCCCCCGTTACCGTAGCAACACCACCGCCACCTTCATCGTTTAGCATCAGCAGCAGCAGCAGCAGACAGGAAATGACTCCGACAGACAACGTCCTGATTTTCAAAGTAAAAGCATCCAAATTGGTTTATCAATGAGTCCTGTGAAGATTTGGGGATTTTTTTTGTGGATTTAAAAACTGAAATCAAAAACAATTTATTGATATTAATAATAATTAATAATTAATGAATACGTGATTGATCCAGCACAGACGGACTAACGGACGTTTTGGACCAAACGGACCAACCTCAGAGTTTTTCCTCCTGACAGACGAGCAGCCAAAATAAACCCCCCACAAACCCCCCTTCACGTTTGGTTTCCTCACCGTCTCGCCATGTGATGGCGGTGGCGGCGGCGAGCACTTTGAGTTTGTGAATAACATTTTACTGTGTGAATTGGATTTGATTTAATTTAATGGTGACCTATTTATAAATGTGTGTAGGCGGCGGACTGTCGCACTACGAACCTCCCGTAGAAAATAAAAACAAGCTCCTCGTCCTTCTCCTCCTCCTCCTCCTCCTCCCCGGTTTGTGTTTGCTCAGTTTGGGCCCTCCCAGCTGCCGTTCTTTCCGTTGTGTCGGTTTCCTCTTTGGTTCGTGGTTTCAGCGAAGCTTCACCTGCAGATAGAAGGTTGTTCGTCATTGTATCGTGTTTGCCGATAGAATAAAACCAGTTGACATGTTTTGTCTTTTGTAATAAACCTTTAAATCAAGTTTCTGTGTCTTCACTCTGCAGCTGGTACGGAGGCCCAGAGAGGACATTAAAAACATTCTTTATATCAATTAGCTGAGTGCTGCAGTTCCTCAGTCTGACTGCAACATGCTAGCAAAACACTGGCAAACTAGCTAGCAAGTCTACATCATGTTAGCTGGTTAGTTAGCTTATTGGGTAGCTAGTTAACTAATTTACACTAATCATTGGCTATTTAGTTACATCTGAGAGCTAATGTTAGCAAAACAGAAGCTACACTGAACCACACAACAACAACAATAAACAAAAGGTACATTAATAAACTGGTATTGATCAGTATTGATAACTGATACAGATGCAGTAGTACAGTACAGTAATGAAGGATTTGTACACAGCGCAGTATTCAACAGGATGTTACAGTAACCTCTAATCTTTCTGTTTGTGACACCAGAGGGCGCCAAATCCTCATTTAAAGGAGCTCTCCACTCATTATTACAGTTATTATTATAATAGCTTTTATTACTATTATTATTATTACTATTATTATTGTTATAGTTATAATTATGGACTGCATATAAATATATCAATAATAATATATAAACTTTTGCTATAAATTGAAGGTTTGATTAAAATTATTATAATAATATAAATAATAAATGTTTATCTGATTATTTGTATTGAATACATTTCAATATAGAACATTTACACATTTTATTGAATAAACAGTCAAACTGTTTTAGTTTAGTTTTAGTTTTTACAGTGCACTGACCTCTGACCTCTGCTCAGGTGGAAGTTGGGTGGATGATGGGAATTATGGGATGTTCTTAACAATGTAGGTCTGATCAATGACGGTCTGATCAATGATGATTTATGCACTGACGCACTCTAACAAAGGTCATTGAAGAGTGTCAATAACATCGATCAGTAGATATCAGTATTCCATCAGTAGCTCCCTGGATGCTGTCTCACACACCGGCTGCAGGGGCAGAGTCCACTGGGTCTCTGCACCGGGTCTCTGCACCGGTTCTCTGCAGCATGTAACAGCTATAAATAAGGATGGTCTATTATTTTGAAGGCTCGCACTTCCTGTCCTCTGTGAGTAAACAGACTGCAGGACGTGGACTCTGAACCAGGAGGACTCTGAACCAGTTTGCTTTCAGGTCTGTGGTGGTTTCAGCTGATCAGAGTTATTGTAGCAACAAGTAGTAACAGTAATATATAATTATTGTTACTGCAGACCTTCATCTACAGCACTGGCCCAAATAACAATAATATCATTATTGTTCACATTGTTCCGAATCAAATAAAGCGAACTGACCTCTGACCTGTATACATCACTGACCTCTGACCTGCATACAGCACTGACCTCTATAAGTATTATTTTGGGACTCTGTCGGGACATATTCAATATTAAATGACTCGGATCCGATCAGGGACTAAGAAACCCTGACCGGGACATCCCTATTTATCAACATGTTTGGTTTTACTGATTATTCCTCTGCTGAAGCTAATGACAACTACATCACTTGCAAAAAGCAGATACATACAGTTGCCTATGTGAATGTTGAAATGTCCTAGTAGAACTATAAAACACCCAGAGGGAATCCTTTCCAGGACACCACCCAGGGACCACCCACCAACCTGTGTTGCCCTAACTGGGTGAGTTGCCCCGCCCCAACAGGTGCAACAACATCAACAAAGTGGAGGAATGAATACTAACTCTCAGTCAGTCTCTGTCGTCTTCATGAATGTACTGGTCCTCCTTTAGCAGGGCCTGCTGTGTATGTGAGTGTGTGTTTCTTGTTGTTGTCTGTCCTGGTTCATGAGCTGGGCCAGGACAATAATGATTAAAGTTCTGACAAGAGGTCAAACTCTTCTCCACTAATTCAGATATACAAGAAAACTAGGTCATTAGGCGGAGGGGCGAGGGCATTGTCAAACCAGCTCTCAACAAGTTTTCACTGTTTTCTCCCAGATGCTGAATTTGATCCTGTAGTAGTCTGACCTGTGAGCAGCTTTCTGTTCACAATAATTGATCCTGTGAATGCAGCTCAGACTGACTCTTGTTAACAAGGGCATGTTGAACTTCAGTCCAACCAGTCAGACTGCATACTTTCATGGCGAAGTGAGGACACGCACACTCTGATGAACTGAATCCGTTTCCACGAAGACTGGCTGAGGACGGGAGGAGAAAGCTACATTCAGATGAAGTTGATTGATTAAGGTTCAGTAAGTGAAGCTCTGATTGGTTGAAATGGTTTCTGATTACAGTGACATCACTGCTTTCAAACTGTCGTGTGTAATTATGTTTTATTGAGGAAGGATTTCAAGATGTAGGACATGAGAACGCAGTACAAAGCTAACAGTGTCCAACAAAACAAACACGCAGAAAACAGAATAATATATCAACTATAACACACTTTCCAGAGGTTCGATTTTTATTACAACATTTTGTAACAAAAGAACACCTCCGAACACACAAGATTCCGGTGGCGTTAGCGAGGAGCCCCGGCTCTCCATGGATCACCATCCCAGCAGGGAGGAGGCGCAGGCAGCGTAGAGAAAGAAGGCAAAAGCAAGGCTGCAGGGCTGGCGTGCTAGCCAGGCTACAGAGGCAGCCACTCAAATCACCGCTTCCCAGCCTATCTCTCGCAAATGCTAGATCCCTGGCGAACAAAATGGATGAATTGAGGCAACAGACTGCAGCGAACAACACCGTGAAGAATGCTTGCATTCTGCTTATCACGGAGACCTGGCTTCACCAATCCATCCCGGATTCTGCCATCGAGCTAGCAGGCTACACCACACAGCGCCATGACAGAACAGTGGACTCCGGTAAGAGCAGAGGAGGGGGGCTCAGTGTGTACATGAACAACAGCTGGTGTACCAACACAGCGACTGTAGACAGTCACTGTTCTCCAGATTTAGAATATCTGACTGTTAAATGCAGGCCCATTTATCTCCCAAGGGAGTTCACTGTGATCTTGATAACGGCTGTTTACATCCCACCAGATGCTAATGCTAGCTCAGCTACTGGACTTTTGCATGCTAGCATTACCAAAACACAGACCACGTACCCTGATGCCGTGAATATCATAGCAGGGGATTTCAATCATGCAGCACTCCCTAAATTCCACCAGCATGTTAAGTGTGCTATGCTACAAGGGGAGATAACACCTTGGACAAGGTATACTTGAACATCAAACAGGGCTACAGGGCAAGGCCACTACCACACCTGGGCCAGTCCGACCACTTGTCGTTGTTTTTGTTGCCACATGGCCAGAGGGTGCCTCCCAGCAGCTACAGGACTGCTTTGAGAGGACCAACTGGGGGGTCTTTGAACATCAGGATCTGGAAGTGTTCACAGATAGTGTTCTGTGCTACATTAAGAGCTGCATAGACACTGTCACAGTGGACAAACGCATCCGGGTCTACCCCAACCAAAAGCCCTGGATGACACAGGGGGTCCAGCAGCTGCTAAGGGAGAGGAACACCGCCTGGAGGTCCGACAACAAAGAACTCTACAGCACAGCCCGAGCCAACCTGAAGAGGGGCATCAGAGAGGCCAAGGCAGACTACAGGAGGAGGATAGAGGACCACCTGAGCAGCAACAACAGCAGGCAAGTGTGGCAGGGAGTTCAGCATCTGACCAACTACAGATCCAACCTCGGAGCTGCTGATGGTGACCTCGCGCTGGCAGAGGAGCTGAACATCTTCTTTGCCCGCTTCGAGGTCACAGCACCAGAGACGGCACCACTCGGCCAACAGCAGCACATAAGGTGAGGCGCAAGCTGCGGGCTGTCAACCCGAGGAAGCCGGCTGGTCCTGATGACGTCCCGGGACGCGTGCTGAAGGACTGTCCAGATCAGCTGGCTGGAATCTTCACAAAGACCTTCAACCAGTCCCTAAAACAGTCCACTGTCCCACCCTGCCTGAAATCCTCAACCATAGTCCCACTGCCCAAGAAACCTCACATCTCTAGCCTCAACGACTACAGACCAGTAGCACTCACCCCAGTGGTGATGAAGTGCTTTGAGAAACTGGTCCATAGTCACATCACAGCTGCCCTGCCCCGCAGCCTTGATCCCCACCAGTTCGCCGACAGAGCGAACCGATCTACAGAAGACGCCATAGCCATAGCACTACATACTGCACTATCACACCTGGAGCAGCAGGGGAGCTATGTGCGGATGCTCTTTGTGGATGCATTCAACACCATCCTCCCTCACAGGCTAGTGGTCAAACTGGGGGACCTGGGGCTTCCACACACCATCTGCATGTGGATCAATAGCTTCCTCTCCGACTGCAGACAGAGGGTCAGAGTTGGCCATCACACATCAACGGCCTTAAGCCTCAGTATCGGCTCTCCCCAGGCTGTGTGCTGAGTCCCTTGCTCTACTCCCTCTACACACACGACTGCTCCCCTGTCCATCACAGCAACACCATGGTGAAGTTTGCGGATGACACCACAGTGGTGGGGCTCATCTCCATGGGGTAGGGCGAGTCTTCCTACAGAGATGAGATGGAGCGGCTGTCAACATGGTGCAGGGACAACAACCTGCTCCTCAACACCTCAAAGACCAAAGAACTCATCATAGACTTAGAAATAAGAAATAGAAATAAAACAGAGATACCGCCATTAATCATCAGCGGGGACTGTGTGGAGAGGGTGGCAGACTGCCGCTTCCAGGGAGTCCATATCGAGGAGGACCTTTCCTGGAGTGTGAACACCTATGAGCTGTTGAAAAAGGCCCAGCAGAGACTGTACTTCCTGAGAATACTCAGGAGGAATAATATCACACAAAGACTGCTGGTGTCCTTTTACCGTGCCTCCATTGAGAGCATACTAACATAATGCATATGCGTATGGTACACCAGCTGCACAGCGGCTCAGAGGAATGTGCTCCAGAGGGTCATCAACATCGCTCAAAAGATTGTCGGCTGCCCTCTCCCCACACTGGAAGAACTACACTGTTCCCGTTGCCTCAAAAAAGCCCAAAACATCATAAAGGACACTCACCA